AGAAGAGGGCTGCATTTCATGACCTACAAAAGAGAAAAAAATGAGATTTACAGTCCAAATGTGCTGAGCAGCCCTTTCCCTTCAGTTATTAGAGGCACTTGGCATATAATTCATAATCGCCTAATGGCAGGTTGGTGGGGGAGGTGCCCATTGCCATTCAACATCAAAATCCCTCCAGAAACAGCAGTAACAGGCTCTGCTCATATTTATATCATGACAATAAATGGCTGCCAGGAAGATACCAGCAAATATCAGAATAAATAATTCAGTAAGTAACAGAAGATCACGAAGACTAACACACATGTTTCTGTTTCCTCTCCTTTTCTCTCTCCCCATCCTTTATATACATGCTCTTTCTCTTCTGGTCTCCCAAATTTCCCTGCTTTTGTGCAATACTTCTCCTCCTTTTTCTTATGTTCACAAAATCATGGCTTAAAAAACAGCTTTCCTGTTTCTCTGCTTTCTAGCCTCTGACAAGCTTCTAATAGTTTTCCTGCATTTATCCTTCCTCTCTAACTTTCCTTATATTCTTTCCTTCTTGTACTGCCTGCTCCTGTCATCACCCAACACATCCCTTCTTGTGGGACAACTGGCAGTGCTGACTTGTCAGGGTAAACTCAGTTCTGAGTTATGTTACAGTAAAATGCTGCTGAAGTTGATAAAATCCTTTTGGCTTGATCTTGGAGCAGCAGCAGAATATGGCCCTGCATTAAGAGCATTCCTAAGGTTATTGCATTGCTGTGACACCAGATCCACCAAGTTACCCAAAGTATGGAAGGGATGTGTGCTTTCAAGTGGATTTGTTTATGCCTTTGCATACTTGGACACATAAAATACTCCAAGTCTTGATCTACATTCAGGAAAGGCAGAAAACCCTTTGGCTGACACATAAGGAGTGTCAGGCACTCCTTGTCCAGTGCCACAACTTCCATGTTAAATCATAAATGTGATCATTCATTCAGATGCCCAGTAGAGTAGAGGCCATGGGACTGTCCTGAATTCAACTCTGTTCAGAAGATACAATCTAAGTTTTCAAGGTGTTTTCAATGGAGAATTTCTCACCTCTGAGAGCAAGCTGTTCCTGGGGTTAATGCCTTCCCCACTAACTGGGGGGAAGTGGCCTTATATCTCATTCAAATTCAGCTGGTCTAACCTCACCCTTTCACTCACAATGAACCCAGTAACTGCCTGCTAGATACTGAGTCCTCTCTGAGCAGGTTGCCTTTCCATATGCAGTTTTATAGCCTGTGATAAAGCCATACCTCTATCTTCTCTTTGTTGAGCTTGCCTGGCTGAGCTCCATAAGCCTTGCATTACCAAGCATGCCCTCCTCAGCCATTTCCACAGAGCTACCTGGTTTGCATTACTTCCCAAACTATTATTAATATACTTCATGGACCACTTTGTCATTTTTTTTTCTAGTTCTTTAATAAAAATGATAACTAGCCTAATGCAAAGAGCTGTTACCTGTAACACCCTGTGAAATCTGGTTTATGTCTATAGAAAATTTCATTTTAAACTCCATAATTTACCCAGCTTTTAAATCCATTTAATGTGCATCATGTTGATTTCTGTAGCTTATTAATCAAAATTTCATCTGGTGCCCATTCAAGTGCCTAAAAGAAGAGAAGGAATATTCAATCAACGCTAAAGCCTTTATCAACAAAAATTAGTTTAATGAGATCTATTGTTATAAATTCATGTTGATTAGCATTAGTTAGCATATCTGTATTTAATTCTTTATTACTTTATTCATTAATTACATTAGCTGCTACATTACTTTTTCTAGTATTGTTATATTTACACTTTTCAAGAGTTTGAATGATATCAACTTTCTTCTAGGTCTTTGATATTTCATCAGTATCCTGACAAATTCTAAAAGTCACCATTTATAGGAATTAAGTCTGGACATTTCTTAACCAGCTCTTTTAAAATGCTTGGTATCAAATTATTCAGATCAATTAAATTAAAATGACCGAAATTATTAACTGCTCTGTCAGTCTAAGTTACTGCTGGAGAAAGAAGTATTTTGTTGTCATCACGTGGCAAGAATATCTCATCTAGTTTTTTCCCCCAAAGAAGAATAAAAATTATTAATTAAACATTATCAAAGAGATCCTTATTTCCACAGGTTTTCTTAATCATTTCCATTGGGCAAAAGACAAATACTATTAGCATTTCCATCACTAATATGCTTTGCTATTACAGAATACATAATAATAATTTACTTGGAAGAGTCTGGTTTTTAATAGCTTTTGGAGCATTGCTTCCTGTATTGACACAGCAACACACAGCTTGCCCTTCTTGTACTTCTTTTCCTATATAGCTTTTATCGTTCCAGGTTTCTGATTTCCAGATATTTCAGTGTGTTTGCTTTTCTTCTTCCTGTATGTGAGAAAAGGCCCATTCACAATTTTTATTTCCTGACAGTTTTACTTCCCCTCATAGCAAAGTTATTGCAATTTTTAACAATATAGTCTTCTTTCTCACATACAGCACCAAGTTTTTTTGCAGACATGTAGTAGAATCTTGTCAGTAAGTTCCCAATTACCTGATAAAATTGTTTAGATTTTATTTCAAATTTAATTTGGTTCTTCATTATTTTCAGCTTTGTGAAATGTTACACAGCTCTTCCTCCTTTTGCCTTCAACCTTCAGGGCTTTATTTTGGATAACACACTTGTGTGGTTCAGTGGGATTCATTTCTCAACAGGCAAATATTTACAACTATTCAATATTTACCTGTCTCTGAATATGCAGTTGCAGACATGCAGAGCAGGGAGATGCTCATGCAGAAGGGATAGGAAACAAGCTGGATCTACTCTTCCAATGCCAGACCAGCAAGAAAAGACTTCACAGGCCTGAACATGCCATCCTGTCACCCCCTGTGCTGTCAGAACTGTGCTGACCCTGCTAGTTGGCAGCCTGGCTTTAACTTAAACCACCCCTGCACGACCGTAGAGTCATCAAAGTGTACTGAAAGCTATGAATCTGTGCTGAAAGGAACAATTTAACTGAGTTAAGCAGAATGATTTAAGTCATCCCCAGCTATGCAGTCCTCTGCCACCCATGGGCAAAGCAGGCAAGTTTTGTAAGCAAATCCTTTCCCAGCACACGGGCTTAGTCATCAGTGAAAGCTGCTGGCTCGCTCCCATCCCAACTGTGGTTCAGCTGCTGCTCAGAGGTCAGCTCTGCAGGCACTTGATAAAGCTTCAATTAAGTGCTCTTCTTGCAGCACTCGCTGATTTACACATCTCCTGCCCGCACCGGCCATTTTGCTGAATAAGCCCTCACGACGGCGGGGACTGCGTACGCACCAGTGCCCAACTGCCCCTGCCTACAGCAGAATTAAGCTCCTCGAGCCTGGGCGTCACCAGGCAGCTTAAAATAAATGACAATGTTCAAATGAAGCGCTTAAAAGGATGGGGGGAATAGAGCCGCAGAGCCCATAGTACGAATATTACTACAGATACTTCAGCTGGGTAATTAATAATACACGGCGTATCTATTCCAGACAGTTTGTGAGCCGCTATTTCCTTCTGGAGATGTGCACATCACTGTTCAGATGCTACTGTGGCGGGATGGTATAAAAATTTGGGTGATGTGGACGTTGTGGTGTGCTTCTCCAGCCTGTGTAACAGCCTGGAAGATCAGCCCCCCGAAAGAGGTCAAAATCCAAAGGCCCGACCTTACCTGCTCATTAACCGGGGTCGCACTTAACTGCAGAGAGCAGCTTTTATCGAAGCCTCACACTCGTGTTCAACTGCTTAGGCTACAAGTCAAAATGGAAAGTGACTCGTAATGACTGCAAATCCCTCTGGGAAAAATGAAAAAGTCACAAGCATAAGAGGATGGAAATTGTTTTCTTGACACAACGTGCATCAAGGAAGATCTGCGTTATTTATTTGTGAGTGACACTGGTTGAAAGGGAATGTTTACATTTGCAGTTTTCACAAAAGAAATGAGTTCTGCAGAGGTAGTGATATTAGAGGCATATTGGATTATTCTAGGAAAGACCTACCATATTTATTTGCAAAGGTAGTTATAAGAATTGATAGAAAGTCTCAGATTATTTTTCCTTGAACTTTTTTTGGGCAGCAGTTCAGAATAACAACCTCAAAAAATTCACTCAAACATTTATTTATCAACCCAGGCACAAAATCTTCCTCCTTGCCAGGAGCATAGTAAAGAAACAAATGAACATAATTTTACTCTCTCCTCAGGAAAAAAATACATATCCCAGCCAAAGAGGCAAATGGAATTTGGCAAGACTGAATTGTTGACATGCTTTTATTACACTAACAAATAAAATGTTAACTGCAAGTGTTACGTGGCACTTGCCTTGTATGTAGGTCATTTTCTCTAGGCAAACTTCCTGCTCCACTCAAGGTAATATTTCAGGGGATTCACATGGCAGTGAACCTGTGCAAGAAGGAGTGATTAGTAAGTCCCTGGGAGGTTTGGTTTAGAAGGCCTTTCTCCATTTCTTCCTCGAGACATTTCACAAGCAAAAATTAATGCTGGGCAAAAGCTGTGTCCCACTGAAGTCAAAGGCATGTTTGCTTCTGACTTCAGCAAGGCTGACTTTGCTCCCCTGGACTTAAAAGCAGTTTTGCTTCAGCAGGAACAGAGTAAAAGCTATGTGTGATCTTCAGCACGTTGCCCTGGGCTAACTCCAGGGAACGCGATCCTCTCAAAGCCCAGCTGCAGACATGAGAACTTATTTAAGACTACTTTAAAATGCAAATTATAGTGGTATGCTCATCATATGCCTATGGATCCAGTAGCATGAAAATATGCACAGTCCAGAAATATCCATGATCTAAGGAGGCTCATCAGCACCAGGAAACTGAGAGTTAAAAGTAAAAATCACATATAAGGGTCCATCCTAAACTTGCGCAACGAAGAACAGACTATCAACCTGGATTTGCTCTGATTGTTCATGCTTTTCTTGGTTTAAGTCTCAACCCCTAACCTCATTTTAATATGGATTTTCTACAGGCTCACTGCAAGAACAACAGACAGGCAGCCGTGGATTGCAAGGATATAAATTCATCCAAGGGCTGCAGTGGCCAGAGCTGATACAGTAAGTGATTACTATCACCCATTACTTCCTGGTGTTGCATTTTGTAGAAGCAATCTGATCACTGATTATTCCAGGTAGCAAGGAAAAAAAAATAAAACGGCATCACAGTTACTCTCACTTAATGATTTTGGCAACCCAAGCCTGTTTTGTCGTGTTGGTGCCACCCACAGTGCCAGACCCATGGCAACGCTCCAGGGCTTACAGGCAGTTACCCAGGTCCTATGGAAATGGCCATCAGCAAAGCAGGAGCAGTTCCCCACGGGCATCAAGAGCCCACACAGGTGTAGCAGTGCAGGGAGTCACAGTGTGCACAAGGAGGGGATGGGTGGCTGCTTCCCCACCACGTGCCACAGGGCACAGGAGGCACCAGGCAGAGCAAGGGGGAGCTGTCAAACCAGTCTTCCTCCATAAATTGCCCCACAGTGATGGCTGTGGAAGACCTGCATTGCCAAACATGAGCCTCCATGGACAAGGCCAACAAGGTGGCTTTGCCAGGCACACTGGTGCTGCCTGGAGGCTACAACCTGTCTGTATTGCTCTCGCCTCCTCCCCTTCCCATGCTTCTTGGTGCAAGGCAAAGCTGCAAAGACCACAGACTCCTGAGGGGTTTGTCCCTGGCCTGAACTTGTTTGAAGGGGATAATTCCAAAAGGCTCCTGCATCCTCTCACATACTGCTCTGTACACATGTGCTGTGCTAGTCACAGCCTCCTAGCAAAGCTGTGTGCTTTGATACAGGCTATACTCTGCCCATGAGGGCAGACAGGACATGTTCAGTTATCTGTCCTCGCCCCGATGGAAACAAGCTAATGCCTGCTGTATTTTCACGAGAGCTGTCCCCCACCTAATTTTAAATGTCACTTGTAATAGCTGTTTTTTCTTCCCCAGATAACTTTTGCAGCCCTGCAGTTGAAGTCATCTGAAACCACAAGATTGGAGTTTGAACGGCACTTGATATTATCAGTGAGCTGAGCCACTGCTCTGCACCTCAGCCACCATTTTCCCCTTCCATCCTTCACTGAGATGTATGTGCAAATCCAAAGGAACCAGTCAGTCAAATGTGGTGAAGCTATCAAACACACTGCTTCTCTTCCCCAGCAGAAGAAGCCTCACTAAAGCCAAGGGAATATCTGAGAAACTGCAGCCAGTAGAGGGATTTAGGCCTTCCACAATGTGTGACAAAGCTGCCATTAAAGCAATGGAGCAGTCCTGGGATCTTGAAAAATGCAAAGATAATAGTGTAAACAATGAGGAAGACTTGTGTGAGGATAAAAAATTCCCAGCACACCACAGTATGCTCTTGAGCCTCCTGAATTCACTGTCGTCTGCAATGCTCCTATCCCCTTGGAGGAATTGCTGCACTATCCAAAACTCAGTCAGACAAACTTATTCTGAGTCCCTTATGATGTTTGGGTTATAAGGCTCATGCTGTATATTGATTTGTCTTCTCCTCCTCCCTGCCCACCTCAGGGCCTCATTTCCCATTTCATCTACATCGGTTTCCTGGATTGCAGAGGGAATTGTCTCAAGGTCATACCAAGATGCTTCAGAAGGGCTCAGCGATGAAAAATGTATGCAGCCCAAAATATTGTCTAAAAGCAATAGACTGAATATATAAAGCCTGTGCCCCAAAAGAGTTCTGTTGTATTTAAGACACAGGGATTTAGATGCACACTTTTAAAAACTGCCCGTACTTCACCAGTTAAAACGATGAGAACAAATGAGGCTGTGATCTGTCAAGTGATCCTTCATCACTCCCAGCACAGGCCCATAATCCTTCAGTTGTGATTATGCAAAGGAATATTACATTGATCCTGTAAAATATCTCTGATTGGATCAATGTTATTTTCTCTCGCATTGACAAGGTCTTACCAGAGAATGACTATAATTCCACTGCTAACACTGTCTTAGTGAAATCCCCCAATAAATCCTCCAAGCAGCACTGTTAGTAATACCTTTATTAGACTAACTAAACAAGATATTTATATGTAGGGCTTTCCAAAGGACTCTGGGTCCTGCTTCATTTTCTGGGAATTTTTTATCCTCAGACAAGTCTTCCTCATTGTTTACACTATCATTGTTTACACTGTTGATCAACAGTGTTCTCCTGGAAGACTTGCCCCCAAGGAGGTTCTGCAAGGATGTAAGTGGCAGATGAAATTACCCTTTCAAGATTCAAAAGGTTGGTCACAGATATACCCTTGTCCTGCCCCTACTGCAGCAAGGACCCAAATGCATCTTTGACAGAAAAATCTCACAGCGAATCTGGTTCACAGACAAGACTGGAGTTCAGAGTCTCTCCATACATTTCACAAACAGGCTGTCAGTGAACAGTTTGCTAACAGCCAAAGGGAAAACATGGTCTTTATGTACCTTCTGTCATTTCAATATTTGTTCAAGGCCTGGCCTTCCTACTCAACAAGACCTGATCCCCTTCTAGCCACTGCTGTTTCTCCTTACTCGTGCTTCCATTCTCTTCCTCTCTTGCCCTTCTCTCTTTGTGTAAATTCCTCTACTTTTGCCGCCATTTTCTTTTCTCCACAGCTCCAGGCTTTCGGTCCCAGTGGTTTCAACCCCACACTGACCTCCCCTTCATCACTGAAGCTGAATTGTCACCTCCTGGTTTGAAATGTGATGCTCCAGTGAAATGAATGGTGGATGCCAGTGATCACCTTGTCAAGTCATTTTTTCAGGCTGCCTGGGTGCTCAGGCACCCACTGCATCTCTGCTTTCCCCTGGTTCCCTTCAGTAAAGTTTCCTTAAGCCATGAGAGCTGCAAACATACTTCTGACTTATCTTTCTAAACATTTAAATACAACCATAAGAATCATGAAAAAACAAAGTACTGCATCTAATATGAAGCTCAAGTGCAGCTGAAAGACCAGTATATACAGCCATACATCAATTAGCAGATGAAAAAGCTACAAAGACAAGATATCAACAGAAAAATATCAAACAAAACACCGTGACAGACACTAGGCCTTTTTAAATCCTTAGAAACCAGGTTGGCATCTGTGATGGGTAAACTCTGGCTCTTACATGTTTCATGTGAAAATTTTCTTCATATTCTTTACAGCAATATACTGAAATGTCAGAGGAGTCACTTCTCAGCTCCCAGGCCCTTAGAAACAAAGGAAAAATAATTGATATTAGCCTTTGAAACCAAACAGCCTGACAGTAAAAGTAACTGTTAAAGATTATAGGGAGTACTCCTGACGTATTTCCTCTATTCACATCCCTATTTTCACGTTGCCTCTACCTTCTGGTTCAAATATCTGTGCACCAGATGCTTAAACTGTGATGTCAGCTTTGAAGGTCATTGCCATAGCTGAGAGAGACCGAAACTTTCTCACTCAAATTAAAACTTAAGCTCAGGAGCACTGTCCTACCTGGGTGCCTGAAGGGGTGGGTTCTATGACAAATGTTATGGATGTGAAATTGCACCATTAGAAGCAGCCCAGTCTGTGGACCCTGATGGCCCTGGTTAATTCATTGGCACATTGACAGGGTCCTGGGTGCATTACCCTGGCACCCATTCACCAACCAGATTCCACCAAATCTAACATAAAGTTCCTGTGGCCTCTTCCAAAGCCATGCATAATGACAAGCTCCTGCTCTAAAGGAGTGATGCAGGTCAAAATGCACTTAGCACAGACCAAAACCCTGGAAAGAAAATGTTGAAATGAATGGAGAAGTGCTTATATCTGATCCCTAAGTGTTAGGACCAAGTCCTGCTATGGTGTAAATTGCCACCAGGATGGATAGAAATGGGGCGATTTGTGCCCTCTGAGACATGCAATAAACATTATCACAAGCAACCTGAAAAGTCTTAGGCCTCAGAGGACATATTTCAGTGCTTAACTCGTGCCCAAGATGAACATTCAACCAACTTAATTTTCTAGGTGACAGATACAATGCACCACCTAACCACAGCAATCAAGTGCAGGTAACCTCGAATTTCAGGTTCAGAAACTCCCAAAATACCATGAGCTACATTCAAAGGAAGAAAAATCTTTAAAGAAGACATGTTATTACAGTCATCCTAATGCTGTCTGCCAAAAACTACACCTCAGTAACGCCATCAAATGGACACCACGACCCCTCAGATGAAAGAAAGGATGGCTGCAGGTGAAGCAGAGCTTGGGCCTGAAGACCTGCCCATGCCTCAGCACTGCAGGCAACTTTCCACTAAGTCCTGCTTCTTTCCCATTTCTCTCTCTTTGTACTTGTACTCTTGGAGTGATGCACAGGTAAAGACGGCTTTGGTGCTGAAGAGTTCATCTGCCCCTGCTGCTGCTTCTTCATTTGAAGGCATTGACAGTGCAATTAGTTGCTGTGCCACAGGCAGGATGCTAACAATAACTGATGAACAAGTGGGGGAAAGATGTGCCACAAATTCTGGTGTGGCACAGAGTGCAGGGGACATCAGTAAGGACAGAATGGGGTTCCTAACTGCAGGGACAAGACAGAAAGATTGGGGAAGAAGCAGATGGCCCTGTAGCACCATCACTGTCAGACACCATCACTTACACAGATAGACACCTTTCCTCCCTCCAACCATTCAAGTAGCGTCTCCCTCCTTCCCTTGAAGACACTTGTTGCCACAGTTTTCCCCATGAAACCTCCTGTTTAAAAAAAACCTGCATGAAACAAGTCCCCGTGCTTTCTCCACACAGAAGTTTCCAAGTCCCGAGGCCAAGGCAGTGCACAACTCCACTCTGCAGTCACTTCATCACTGGGAAACACGGACCTTATAGAGGGGCCAGTGAGACAGTTGTGTCCTGCTCTCATCCCCTCAAAGCTGATGCCACTGCCAGCAGTCTGTGACTACCTTTCCCACCACAATCAATGAATTACAAGGAATAGCATTTGAAAACTGGAGGCTCCTCAGGACACTAGGTGAAAAGGATGCCTTTTTCCTCTTAGACACAGAATATTATTTCATGGCAAAAGGATGTCTCAAGTCTACATAAAGGAGTAAAGAGAACCACTTTCCTCTGCCCTTGTTCTAAACCCTAAGCAGTGTATAGTGGCTTACTGTAGAGTCCCTCTGCCATAGATACAAGTCTTCTAAAAAGCAGCTGTCTCACAGTCACACAGCTCAGCACACAGGCAGAGGACCTCACACCCAGCTACTCCCACATATGTGACGTGCCCATAGAGGCAATGCCATCAATGTCCAGTCTCCCTCCCTTGGTCTTTGCCACCATCCTGTACAGTTCACTTCAAGCAGAAAAGGGGATGCTTTCATAAGACTGGGGTCATTCCTCAATAGGAGTAAAAAACAAAAATTCCTTCTCTGATCCTCTATAGATAAAACCCTCCTTCTCCGGGTACCAAGGCACAGAGCTGGGTAACAGTCTCTGCCAATAATGCAGAAGGCAACTTTGCTACTTTGACTCTCAGGTAAGGTTCTCTGAACTTCCAGACAGGCAGAGATCCCCGCTCGTCTTGCTCCACACTGATTGCAACCAGGCTTCCACCTTTTCTGAGAGCTTAACTATAGCCCAAAAAGGCTATCCCAGATGATGTTTTCCTACCTTTAGTGCTGTGGAGCACTTTATGTTCTCTGTAAGACTTTTCCCAATGAGTTTTTTGAGAATTGTGGTCTGCTGCTGCACACACAACTGAACAAAGCCCAGAGTGGGTGCCTTTAGCATTCATAAGCTGGTGGATCTTGGGACAAAATCCTTCCCGCTATACAGAAACTCACCCAGCATCACCAGCCAAATGGCTGAACGTTTTGTGAACTGAAACACATATCTCATGGTAATTTAAATATGTGCAAATAAGAGTTTAATTCCACTGCTGCCAGCCATTCCAGACGTTTAAATATAGTACGCAAATTCTCTTTTATTTTATATAAACTATTTTAATGAAGAAACTGAGGGCTCTACATTCTCCTGGCTTACGAATACAAATAGTTGAGAATCTAACAGCCCTTTGCTGTTGTTGAGCTAAGGCAATCTGAAATGGAAAGCAGATGAGGGAGCCAGGAAACAAAGTCCCTATTAACTACATTATCTAAAGGAAAGCTGGCTGAAGTGTGCATTAAGTGCACAGACTCCACATCCCCAGTCCTTCCTGGATGTGGGGGGGGTGTCACAGGAAGGAAACAAAGTGAGGCTCAGATCTGACTGAGACATGGTGCAGCTGGATTTGCCTTAGGTCTCTTCCCTCTCACCAGACACCTGTGGCTGGTATCAGGCAGGCTGGTGATGAACACTTCCATCAGGTCCTGCTTGATACAGAGCTGAATATGCTCCTCCTTCGGTAAGACAAAAGAGGAATTAATAGTAATAATAAATTAATCCTTCACCATCCTGTGGCAAGTTTCACAAGGACATAGCACTAAAAAGGACTGTGTTCCTTTTCCTTGCATAGCATTGCAAGGCAAGTGTGAATCACAGAAATGTTTAGGATGGAAAAGACCTTTAAGATCATCAAGTCATTCTAGTTGGGCTTTGGCCTTTCCAATTTCCTCACTGCATAACCTCACAACATCTTTGTAGTCCTAAGGAGTTGCCTGCCCCTTTTTCCAAAAGTCATAATCTCTCTTTCTAAGACATCACTAGCCTTTGTGTCAACTAGAAGGATAGAGGAGAACACTATTTGTGCTCCCAATCCCTTAACCAGTTATTCCAAGGCCCTGAAGTCTCTCTTTGGACTTCATGTTGCAACTTCTTCACTTGCCCACCTGAAAAATCCATAATGGATAATCATGCGAGGGCTGTAACAGGTCAGGAAGCTTTGTCTTCACATCCTTAACCTGGGCCTCAGGGAGGCAGCAGGCATTCCTAAGAATTGGGTCCAGTCTGCATATGGGAACTTCTGTGTCTCTCAGGAGAGAGTCTCCTATGACAATAACCTGTCTTTTTTCTTTCCAGAAGCAGTTTTGACACAGGGAGTAGGCTGACTTAACCTCGGTGATACCTGCAAGCCGGACGAACCGTTGGCACGTGTAATGGTTCCAAAAATCTGTTTGAAGTGCTGTGGCCTCATTGCTCTTTCCAGAGAGCCACTTCAGCACAGCTTCTAGCCTACCTGTATTCATGGCCCTCACACACACCGTTTTCCCTGCTAATGTCATCCTTAGCTTAAGCACATCTTCCCCCTCTCCTGTGTTTAACTCCTTTTCTTCTGGATAACAATTCTATTTGTAAAATAGATCTTTCATTACTTTTCTCACACTAGTAATCCCACTCCAGGCCTGCTTGGAATTCATCTTCATCACAGGTGGTTGACGAGAATTGCAAAGATTGTAACAGAGAAGGCTTGATTTACACCTTGCCCATGACTTTAACATTTCTCTTCTTGAAATATCCAGCTAGCTCTGTTCTTCAGTCACATCTGCCTTTCTTCTGGCCATGGTTCTGCTGCTCTCTGTCTGCACTTCAAGATATGTGCACCTTAATGAACCCCTTGTCCCCGCTAAGGTGTGGCTACATCCCAACTGAGCTAAGGGTGAGATTCAGGTATGTGCCTTTCCCACCCTGAAAGGAAACCCTCTGCAGTACCTGCCCAGGGAGGAAGGCATCTGAGCCCAAATCTCCTCATAGCCTGGATGTCTGGAGGACCAGAATTCCAATCTGCAACACAGAGGGTATTTAGTCAACAATGTAAATGTTCTCCAGGACCAAAAGTTTACATAGAAAGAAATTTCACAACTTTCCTGTCACCCAGTCCTCAACATTACCCAGTTCCTTGTATATATTCCAGGACTTCTTTCTCT